TATTTCGTTTATAAAAAAATTAAATTTACCTAATTAACCTAATTTATTTACCTGACATTTAAATTATTATTTCGTATTTAATTTATTATTTAATCTTTGATTATCAGATTGTATTTTTATGAAAAAAAACTGAAATATTAAAATAAAATATTAGTTGCCAAAAGAATAAATTTTTGATAAAGTTCAGTTTTCTCCTAACCGAATAAATAAACTTCCACCTAATTTTTATCACCAGTATAATGTTCAAAAGAGAGAGCAGAACTAATGTAATTATAAGTTCTCTGCTTTTCTAAACTAAACATTCGTCGCCTCGTTTGAAAGTGACCTAAAAATTTCAACTCAAAAGAAACTTTGTTTACATACATATTAACTTCAATTTACAATTACTTATACTTTCAAATAATTAAATTAACACTTTTAATAAAAAAATTTTTCTACTTTGAAATAATATATATTAACAAAATAGTTCAAAAAAATTGTCTCAAAATTTTTCATCATTTTTAAATTTAAAAAAATAATAAATAGAAAATAATAAATACTGACAAAATATTACAAAAAAAACTTTTTTTTAAAAATTTTTTACCATTTTCAAGTTTCAAAAAAATAATAAATAAGAAAATAATAAATACTGCAAAAATATTTCAAAAAAAATTTCTTTCCAAAATTTATACAATTTTTAATTTTTAAAAAATATTTATTTTTAAAACTCCATAATCCCTTAATCTACTTTCTTGTTCATTATTTCACGACTTTTATTGAAATTGCAATGTAATCCTTAAGCCCTCAACGACGAAAGTGAATCAAATTTCGATGATAAATGTGATCCTATCAATTTCTTTTTTTTTTTTGCACCATTTTTATCATCTCAAGTGATAAAATTACAATTTTTCCCTAAGAAAAAAAAATTTCCACAAAAAAAAAAAAAAAAATTAACTTTATTTATTAAAAATTTTCTTTTTTCAAAAAGAAAAAAAGTTTATCCTTCTCCTGTATCAGTATCTCTCCGTGAGTTTGATAAATCTAACTTGAATATTTTAAAAGTTACTTCTCAACATAATGATCTTTTATTCAGGAAGCCTGTTTTACAAGTTACTTCAACAGAATCAGAAGAGCTCTTGAAATTCAAGTTTCCGACATTAATTTGCTATGACAATGTTTCAGAACAAAAAAAAAAAAAAGGTAGAAAAAAAACTTTTAACATTTTAATTGTGCTACGTTATTAAGCTTTTGTTACTCAAAAGAACAGTAAAAAGTGTTGCTCGAATATTATTTTCCACTTCCTTTGTAATTTAATTCTACTTGTTAATTGTAATTTTCTATTATTTATTTTTCGAAACAATTAGTAGCAGAATGAATAAAATTTTCAAAAGGGGGAATTTAGTTTATACAAATGAATAAAAATTTTTATTAAATTTCTTCTAATAAATAAAAAAACAATTTAAATTAGAGTTTTCAAATAAAGCAGAACAAGTAAATTAATTGACGTTTTTCAAAATAAAAAGGACATAAATTTCTGATTTATATTCACTCTTACTACTTATGTGGAAATGTTACAAAAATTATATTCCGCCTGACTAATATTGACCTTTACTACTTAAAATAATTTAATCTAATAATTTATAAATATAATAATAAATTATTTATTTATTTATTTATTTATAATAATAATAGTTCGAAGGGAGAAAATTTAAATAAGTTATTAGTTGATTGATAGAATAAAAATGAGAAATAATATTGAAATTGAAAATAGATAAAATAATATTAAAATTATTATTTTGTCTGACCAATGATGACCTTTACTACTCCAGTTTAATAATAAAAATTGAAATTAAATTCAAATAAAAATAAAAACTAATAAATCTACAGAAAATAATAATTACAAGACTTTAGAAATTTTTAAATTAGCCAAAAATTTTTTTTACGCTTGACATTAAAATTAAAAGACAGAGAAATTTTGGTCTGACTAAAACTGTAGAACTAATATTGACCTTTACTACTTAGAACTAATATTACACGAATTTAGAAAGTTTGAAATTAAAACAAAAATTTTTTTTACTGATGCAATTAAAATCAAAGGTATTGGAAATTAGGTCCGACTAATATTGACCTTTACTACTTAAACTAATATTACACGAATTTAGAAAATTAAAAATTTGCCAAAAATTTCTTTACTACTGATATTAAATCCGAAAGACAGCGAAAATTTGGTCTGACCAATGTTGACCGTTACTACTTAAATTATTAAAAAAAAGTTAATAATAATAAAAATGAAATTAAAAAATAAAATAAAAAAATACTACTAAGGCTAATATTCGACAAATGTAGAAAGCTAAATATTAGCCAAAAAGTTTTTGTACTCTTGAAATTAAGATCAAAAGTCAATATAAATTTGGTCTGACTAAAGCTGTTCAGCTAATATTGATCTTTACTACTTAAACTAATATTAGACGAATGTAGAAAGTTTAAAATCAGTCAAAAATGTTATTTACTAAAAAAAAATAAAATAAAATAAAACAATAAAACCAACAGAGAATGAATATTTGGTCCGACCAATATTGACCTTTACTACTTAATTCTAATTAGAAATTAGAAAGTTAAAAATTTTTACAAAAAATTTTTTTCCATGGAGATTAAAATCAAAAGACAATGTAAAATTAGTCTAACCAATGTTGACCTTTACTACTTAAACTAATAATAATAAAAATAAAAAAAAGTAAAAAACTAATAAAATAACTATTTAATTTTCTTTTCTCAGTAAATTAATTCAAATTATAATTAATTAAAGTAATAAGCAAGAACAGCAAATAAAAATAAATTTCAAAAAAACATAAAATTTTCAATGTTCGAGTCTAGCACAAATATTGAATTCTACACTGACTTTTGATTCAATCAAAGCAATGTTTGATATTCGCAAAAAAAGTTACGTTACATACTTCCTACTTGCCGGTGCATTCTGAGTCTGATTAATCTAAATACATATTGAATATATAAAAGAATATTGATTGTAAAAACTTGGAATATTGGAATAAAAAAGTAAAAAGAAAAAAAAATAGAAAAAAGTCGATACAAGCGTTGAAAGTAGATCAAAAGAACAGTCTCTCTGGATGCAAATTCAAAAATTAGTCCAAGCACGTTCACCTTCACAATGCTCTATATTTTTCTCTCTCTCCTTCTTTTCTCATTTGGCTGTCGCAGATGTGTAGAATTTTATTTCCAACAAGGGAAATCTTTTTAACTTTTTGTCACAATCCCAAAAACGGAAAATGGGAAGAAAAAATTTTTTTTCGTTAAAAAGAAGAGCTTTACGTTAAAATTCGTTTTTTTTTCGCTGAAACACAGTTGCAAACAAACCAGTTGGTTTTGATGTAAAAGAAAAACGCCTAATTAACCCTTTGATATCACGTAGAAAGTGGTGAGCAAATTTTTATTATTTTAAACCGAAAAAAAAATGTTTTTCAATAATTTTTTTTTTTTGAAAAAATGAAACAATTTCCTTAACAAAAACAAGGGCCTATTTCTTTAAGAACTGTAAGTATTTTACTTTCAATTTTTTTTTGTCAAATATTTATTTAAGAAAAATTTCAAGTGAAAAAATTAAGTGACAAATATTTTTTATACAAATATTTATATAAGGAAATTTTTTATGAATAATGTTATTATTTTTACAATAAATAAACGAAATATTTTTATAATAAAAACGAAGGAAATATTTACGTGACTGTAGTTCACAACGTTTAGGGTCAAAAAATCAGGGGAAAAAAAAATTTTTTTACACAAAAAACTATATTTTGTTTACAAATTTTTATTTTCAGGTTTTGATCAAGAAATATAAAAAATTTGTTCAGAAAAAAATTTGAATGGAATACATTTTTTTCCTTCTAAATTTTTTTAATATAAAAGTTGTGAACTACATCAACGTAAATATTTTCATAACAAAATAAATAAAAAAAAATTGTCAGAAGTTACTGATTGTAATAAAAATAAAAATTTAAAAATTACATTTAGAAACTTGACAATTAACTCAAACTTGATAGTGACTCAAAATTTTTTATTATTGTAATAAAAATTTAATTTGAAGACAACATAAATAAATTTCGTTTATTGTAACGTTCAGAACTTTAGAATTATCTAGAAATATTAATATTTTTATAAATTTAAGTATTTTTAGAAATGTAAATATTTTTAAAAATATTAATACTTCTAGAGGATTTTAAAATTTTATTCCATGTAACTATTTGTAAAATTTGTAATATTTTTACACATGTAAATATCTAGAAATGCAACTATTTTTAAAAAATTAATATTTTTAAAAATAAATATATAAATATTTTTAGAAATATTAATATTTTTTGAAACATTAATGTTTTTTGAAAAGTAAATATTTTTAGTACAGTAACTATTTTTAGAAATTTATTTTTATAAACGTAAATAATTTTAGTAATGTAAATATTTTTACTAACGTATCTATTTTTAGAAATATTTTTACAGATTTAGAGATTTTAGAGATATTTTTAGAGATTTAAATATTTTTATAAATAATAAACTTTTTCAGAAATATAAATACTTTTAGAAATATAAACTTTTTGAGAAATATAAATATTTTTGGAAATATAAATAAATACCTATAAAGGTACAAATATTTTGAAAACTACAAATATTTCTACAAATGTAAATTTAATTTATTAAATTTAATATTTAACTTGTTAATAATAAATTCTATTAAAAATATAAATAGTACATATCAAAAATCCACAAAATTTCGTTCAATCAGAAATATAGTAAATTTCCAATAATTGAAATCAAGAAAAATAAATTCGAATCTAAAAAAGTGAGAAGCAATATAAAGCAGTACCTGCAAAACTCCTCAAAAAAAAAAAAAAAAAAATGAAAAAAGAAAAAATACCAGCGAATAAAAACGTTCGGTAATAGGCAAAAAAAATAAATGCTAATTATTACCATCATTACAATGTAAAAAATAAAAAAAATCATTTCCCATTTACCGGCTAGCATAAGGGAGAAGTTGAACGTCTGCATAATCTTCTGGTGCAATACTGGAAACTGCAGTCTCGCCCAAAGGACAGTTCCAATTTGAAATAATTGCAAAATCATTTTTTCTTTGTCAAATAATTTCTAAATGCATTCTCTTTATTTCCTTTCAATTAATCCTTCAATTAAAAAATAATTATTTTTGCACGACAGTATAGGGTTAAGAAAAGAAAAAGAAAATTGTGAAAAAAAAGTTTTTGTTGGGGTTTGTATTGGGGTATATATATGTATATATATATATTTATTTGTATATATATACTAAGCTTGCAGTTGCGCCAAACTTGGAGAAAATGTGCAGACACGATTCGCGTACCAAACCCAACTGAAGAGCCAACGGTTTTGCTGCTGTGACCGCGCCCCCGCCTCCCGATTCTGATTATCCGATCGCGCACGCGTTCCTCACCGAAATGCAAGCAGCAGACCACATCCATTACCCTTTACCTGCAAAAATTCTCTCACACACACACAAAGGTGGAAACTTCTTTTTCGTTATTTTTTTTTCATCTCTCTCTCTCTCTCTCTCTCTCTCTCTCTCCACCCATTGTCTCACTTATGATCGCTTTTCACACCCTCTCAACGCCTGCGAATAATATAATTTTTTTGGCTCTAGCGCCAATTTCGTTTTTTTATGCATTAGCTAGATTAGAACGTTTGGCAAAACTTTTTTTTTTTTGCTCTCCTTATCTTTTCGTAATTTACTCAAAAAGAAGAAAATATTCAGTCAAATATTTTTTTTTAAATAAAATTAACCCCTTCGTAGTATGTTGAATTTTTTTTTTTTGAATTTTTCATTTATTCATATTTAAGATTTTTGAAATCATTGAATCAAAATTAAATGTCAGATTTTAAAAGTCCAAAATGGAGGAACCAATATGGCAAACAAAAATTTTTTAAATTCACATATTTGCCTAAGAATTGTTAAGGATTCTAGGATTACTGAATCTAAATTTAATGCCATTTTTAAGAAATTCAAAATGTCGGATCCAATATGGCGTCCAAAAGTTTTAGACTTTTTTTAAATATTTGTCCAAATATGTTTACTCTGGTTTTTTTTCTTAAAATAACATATTTGTCTATAAATAATTACTAGAGGGGTTTTTGGGATCACTGAATTTTAATTTAATGTCAGATTTTAAAAATACAAAATGGCGGATTCAATATGGCGACCAAAAGTTTTAGAATTTTTTTAATATTTGTCTAAAAATGTTTACTCCAAGATTTTTTTCTTAAATTAACATATTTGTCTTTAAATAATTACTAGGGTGGTTTTTGGAATCACTAAATTTGAATTTAATATTAGATTAAAAAAAAAATGGCGGAACCAATATGACGACCAAATGTTTTTAAATTAACATATTTGTCAAAGAATAGTTTATTTACTTATTTATCCAAATATATAAATAGTTACTGCAAATATTTTGTCAGGTGAATAAATTTAAAACTAATGTCAGATTTAAAAAATTCAAAATGGCGGATCCAATATGGCTACCAAACGTTTTAGAATTTTTTAAATATTTGTCAAAAAATGTTTACTCAGTGGTTTTTTTAAATAACATATTTTTCTATAAATAATTACTAGGGAGGTTTTTGGGGTCACTGAATCAAACTTTAATGGCAGATTTTAAAAATACAAAATGGCGGATCCAATATGGCGACCAAAAGATATAGATTTATAATTTTTCTTAGTATTTGTTTAAAAAATGTTCATTCCAGGATTTTTTCTTAAATTAATATAATTGTCTTTAAATAATTACTAGTGTGGTTTTTGGAATCACTGAATTTGAATTTAATGTCAATTTAAAAAAAAACAAAATGGCGGAACCAATATGGCCACCAAGAATTTTTAAATTGACTTATTTGCGTAAGAATATTAACTAGGGAGATTTTTTTTTTGGTTTACTTAAGCCAAACTTGATTCTAGACTTTCTAAATGTGAATTTTATCTCTTTTCATTTTTATTGTAAATAAATTTTGAAAATCTTTTTAATAGTAGTTTTAATTATTAGTAAAAAATTTTTATTACAAAAAATATTGCATTTAAAGGTTAAAAACTCGAAGATTATTTTTGCATTTTCTTTCTTTTTTTTACTTTCTTAGAATTGTATGTGAATGAAATGTAAATGTTCTTGATTGTATGCATATCGTCGTTAATTTTTGGTACACATCGTTTAAGTTTATCGTCCATTTGGTTGAAGGTGCGATATAAAATATCTACACATCGATTCAGTATCTATGATTCGATGTTGGAAATTCAATTTCAATTTCAACTTGCGATATTCCGGGATTTACAGATCTACTTTAAAATTCGTAATTTTATAGATCTTCGTGACTAGAATGTCCAAAATTTTCGGATTTGTGAATGCAATCATCAATTTTTTAAATAGAGATGCAGCGAGAAACTATTTTTCATATTCGAAAATGGAATTCTCAATTTTTTTCGAGACTATTTTTAGTTATATCATTTTGTGAAAACGATAAACAAGAACAGGGTAAACGAATAAAAATTCTAAATATCAATATTTTTGGTAATAGTAAACAATATTTGAATACTGATAAATAATATTTTTATTTATTATAAAAGAAATTTAGATGAAAAATAATTAAATATTTTCATTTTAATAAACATTTTAAACATTAATTTAATTTTTTAAACATTTTTTAACGAAACATAAAATTTGCAGAGCTAAAAAGCAAATGTACTTAAACATTATATTTAAAATTCAACTAAAAATAAAAATAATAATAAATAATAAAATGAATAACCAACACTAAATAAAATAAACTTTAAAACAATTGCAAACTTACAAAAATCAGTCCTGGCTTGTTCTCGACCTCCATTCTAAAGTTGTATTCATCATTAATTTTGAGACGCAAAAAACACTCACTCGCGGTTTTAAAATTTTTTTTCGAGCACTCGCGAACCACGTGTTCGCAAACTGGAAAAGGGATAAACTTTTTTCTGTATAATTAGGTTACGATCGCGGTTTTAATTATTACGAACACTCCCGATATTTACTTTTAATCTATAGAAAATTAAATCTATAGAAAAGAATTTTTATTTCTATTTAAATAAAATTATTTACAAATTTTTATATTTAAATAAAAATTGATTTAAGTAAAGCAGCAATTAAGAAAAAGAAGAAAATTTAAAAATCCTAAATATTAATCGATCGCGGTTTTGAAAAAAAAATTATCGCACTCCCGAAAGCTAATGCACATTTTTAGAAAATAAAATTTGAAATCAAGGACAATTTTATAAACACGTGGTCGAATGAGACGCGCGACAATGTTTTTGGAATTTTGCTTCTTGACCTTTCTCATCTGCGCCCAAGCATTGACTGACGGCGTCTGAGAGAAGGGGTAGAAAATTGAGGAAGAAAGTGATAAGTTTCTCTCTCTCTCTCTCTCCATTCTGAAAATACAAAAAAAAGTCAATAAATTAATTTTCTGTTTCCAGTAATAATTTAAATTTAATTTTTACAAATTTTTTTACAAATAATTAAAAATAATTGTAATTGTAAATAATTATAAATATGAATAATTGAATATTTTCGATTTTAATTTCAATTATATACTTTCATTTATTAAAAAAGTAGATTTAGATATAATACAAAAATATAATTATTATAATAAAAAGAAATTTCTCTAAAAGAAAATAATTTCGGTTCCTTAAAGTGCGAGTTTTCATCCTACACTTTTCCTAATAGTAAAGATTAAAAGAAATTATTAGGTATAAATTATTATTATTATCTATAAAAGACGTTAATTTAATTAGTAAAAAAAAAATTGCTATTTAAAAAAAAATTAATAATCACGGTATTATAGTTGGCCCAATATTACTAATTAATTAAAATCATGAATTATATATAAGAGTGAAACTTTTTCTCTAATTAGAAAGTGAGTTTCATGGAAAAATTATTTACAAAAAAAAAATAATAATCTGTACCTATTAAAAACGCGCATAATACTATCCATTTGTTCGAGACAGAAAAACGTGAATTTGAAAGATTTTAAAAATATTCTCGATTCATTTTTAACAAAATTTTTTTACGAGCATTAAAATCTCCATAAATTTCATCATATCTACTTTTAAAGATCAAATATAATATTTGCTTAGTTCCCTGACACGAATATATTTGTAATCATTTCAAAAATACTTTCGAATTTCATTCTTTTCTACAATTTTATTTTTCAGTTATTAATTTGAAAAATAATTTTTATTTTATTTTTACACAACCAGATTTTTATTTCAAAAAAATGTTATTTTTTTCAAATTAATCTAATTTTTTTTAATTAAAATTTTTTTCATAATTCAAAGAACTATTCAAAAAGAATGTTTTTTTTAATTTAAGAAATTATTATTTAAAAAAAATTCATTTTTCATAATATAAGTTACGAAAAATTATAGAAAAAATCGAAAGTTTTTGGTGTAAAATTAAAAATGTTTTTAATTGCGCTTTTTTTATTTACCTATCTGATAAAAAATAAATAATCCCAAATGTCATTAATCCAGTAATGATATTTTTGTGAAGTACAACCCATGGGTAATACATTATTATAAATTATAATATTATAATAATAATAATGTAATTTTTACTTGGAAATTTATAGATAAATAATGAGTTATAAATAAATGGTAAATTAAAGAATAAAAACGAAATAAAAAATTATTCAAAATATAGTAAATTAAGTAAAAGAAAAACGAAATAAATATCTATAATTCGAAATATAATAAAGTTTTGATAATAAATAATGATAATGAATAATTATATAATAATAATTAAATTATAATAGTTTCAAGTTAGAATATTTTTCATATCACTCGAATTTCGTGAGCTGAATATTTTGCGATAAAAAATTAAAATCGGAAAAGTGTAACAAGCAATTTTTTTACCCCACTGAGAATGTCATAAATTCTAAAGAAACTTTTTCAATATTTGATAACGTTAAAGGCCTGAAAAGGCTCGTGGTCAGAGAATGCAACAGGTGCCTAAATAAACTTTGAGAGTGGTCTTTTACTGAGTGTGTTTATATATATATATATATATATATATATATATATATATATATATATATATATATGTGTAGGTAAATGGAGAAGTTAGGCTCAACAGAGCTTTACCTAAAAAGAACCTGCGAGCAGTATGCGATAAAAAGAAACTTTTATTTTATTTCTCTGAATAATAGTAAATAGTAGGAGAAAGAAAAACTTTAGAAAAAGAGGTTTATTGTTAATCTTTTAAAAAGATTATTTACATTATTGTTGAGTATTTCAGGAGAATTTATCCAAATTGAAAGGAAGAAAAAATGTTATTCTTTATATACTTTAAGAGAAAGGAAAAATTCTCACTTCTATTATCAGCAATCGAACACAATGGAGATAGAAGAGTGGAAAAAAGAAAACAAGTTCTGAATTTTAATGAAAGAGTATTTTTATTTTTATTTTTAT